CCTCTTACGACAAGCATGGGTTACTGAAGATCAATTCTAACCAGGAACTTCAGGAGTCCAAGAGCACACAGGATGGAGTGATGGTTTACATGAAAGATTGTACAGTTTTCTTATCTGTTTACAGTTAAACAAATCGTTTAATTTTAACACATTGGGATTTTTTTAACATAATGGTTTAGGAGATATATTTTCCGATGATGTTTGAAGATAGGGCAGAAAAAAATGTAATGAAATTCATCGCCAACATCACACGTGTCGCAGAGGTAACACATTCCTTCTTCAGGTGGAATGTGGTGCCCTGTATCTACTTCTATAAACGATGGCTGGAAGTTCTAAACAAGAGATATGTAAGAGCCAGGGAGAAAGGGATATTTGTCAAATATTTTCCAAGGACAAGTTCAGTTTTGAATGCCCTATAAGTGGTATCTTTAGAAGAATTCGACATGCCTGCACGCCATGTTTGAGTTGTTATATCATGTATACTTAGGGAGATAATAGATTTCACAGTGAGTGAGTTTAGTTTTACACCGCACTCAGCAATTTTCCAGCTATCTGGCGGCGGTCTGTAATTAATCGGGTCTGGACCCAACCAGTAAAAGCTATAGTTAAATCCATTTGAAACGATTTCCACAGATTGTATCCATTTTTTTTATTGCAGAGCGTTTATTTTCAAAACTTTTACCTGGGCAAAAACACTTTCCGGTATATTATAAATTTTCTCTGTGAAAAATAAAATAAAAATATCACTGAATGAACATTCACAACAAAATCGGAGCCGGGTTTTAGTTTACTGGCACTTCAGCTTGAACTATATATGCAGTGAGGGTGAATGTTCTGCATGAGACGTCTGAGCTCTCTATAACCAGGGTTTAATGTTTCAGTTTCAGATGGTAATAACAGCAGTATATTGTGATAGCCTGTCTCAGTCCCTGAACCACATTTTTTTCCTTCTGCCTAGCCCTCGCAGCAATGCTAAAACCCTAAAAGAAGCAAGTCTAGATTTCCTTAGATCCTGAATCTTCCATCTGACTGGGGCTCCTTTAAATTTAAATAGGTTTATTTGTTACTATCAAAATTACATGTATATTATATCCAGAGACTGGGCGCTTGTCTAGTATTGTTACTGTTAGAGCGGAACGAGTTTGAAGGGCAATGAACTGGTTTATGGCCTAGAGGTACTTATCAAATTCCAAATTTCCATGGCCACTGCACACTGACAGGTGATGTACTGTTTGATAACATGCACACAGAGAGCTGCACTGTCTTGTACAGTTATTGAGATGCGCAGCCGCACCGAGACATTATCAATGGCTGCTGGCTGGTCTTTCCAGTTGAGGGGCGGTGGGGTAGCCTAGTGGGTCAGGCGTTCGCTCGGCACGCCGAAGACCCGGGTACGATTCCTCACATGGGTACAATGTGTGATGCCCATTTCTGGTGTCCCCTGCCGTGTTCTTCTTCGAATGGACATGGAAAGCTTCTGAAATGGATTGCCATGTTCTGTGAATCTTTGCGACCAAATCATGAACGTTATCGAAGGGGATTTGGAACACGACGTAGACGTCTCTCCACATGTACACATGTTTCATTTGGAGAAGATCCGGCAAATACATGCCAGTGCAGGGTTTTAACCTTGTTCTGTGGGAAAAGTGACAGCCCTAACCGTGTCAGGACGGGCTATTTCCTGTTCGATTGTGTTTTCAAGGTCATGACGTTAAAGAAACAGAATTGCCACTGGTCCGAGAATCTGATCTCTGTAGCCCACACCTGTCAAATTGACCTGAACAACTAAAGGGATTCTCTGGTGTGCATTAACACACACACACACACACACACCTCCCAAATCATCACGGACCCACCCCCCAAATCGATTCCTGTCCATGACACAGGCTTGATCGCAACGCTTCACAAGACATCTGAAGAACCGTTGACGTCCGTCACTACGGGAAATTTAAATCGGGACTCGTCTGACAGACATGAGGTCGGCACCATCTTACCGTTGCATCAGGTAAGGTCGTATGGAGGTATAGGTTGTGTGTGCGTGTGTGTGCGTGTGCGTGTGCGTGCGTGCGTGTGTCTGCCTGTCGTGTCTGTGTGAAGGTCGGACAGGTAGATCACGATAATGTGCGCACAAGCTTCAAGACGTTACTACTGCACGATGTGGCATATTCGGTTTAGCAAGGTATCGGTGTACGTCACGTGCACCCAGCTACACTTATACCTTGTAGCACGTCTGGGCTGACATATTTTATAGTTGCTAAAATAACCCCATTCTGTGTAAACAATTTATGGACGCGCAGTAAAACACTCACCCACATAAACATACCACACAAATTACAAAATAGTTGAAAATACTATGGAACCCAAGATGGGACATTGCCACGTTGTCGCCCTCTCCAAAACAAGCAAAATTAAACAAAGCGCGACAACGCGACATTTTGGCTATTTGTCGCATTGTCGCGCTTTGGTTAATTTTACCACTTTTTGTTTGTTTTTTTTTTGTAGGGGCGACAATGCGACAAAGCGACAATGTCCCCTCTAGGATTCCATAAGATACGATGTGAATGATCCCTGAAGTCCCGGTCCTCTCAGGTAACATGGTATGTGTCACAAAAGCAACACTTGAGGCCTACGACAAGTGGGTCATAACCCGTTAACCTATGAACTGTCACACAGTTTACGACCTGTAACGCATGAGTGGTTTTGCCTGTACCTTGACCTCACAAAATCGATTGTCACATTCGTCAGACAAAACCATGTGAACGGTCACATTCCCGATCTGGTGATAATGCCAATAGAACCGGTTTTGTATCCTGAAGACGGCTAGCTAAACGGGCGTGTCACCTCTGTACGTAGGCCCAATAAGCCATCATTTGAGGACCGCCTCCGTGGTGTAGTGGTTAGAGCGCCCACCCGGAGAGCGGAAGGTCGCGGTTCGATCCCCGACCGCGTCATACCAAAAGACGTTAAAATATAGTACTTGTTGGTCTCTGTCTGGCGCTCGGCATTAATGGGTACAACAAGGACTGGTCGGTTCGGAGTCAGTGTAATGTGTCTGAGTGGGGTATTCATGCTTCACTGCGGCATGGTATCTCATTGGGCTAGCACTATAAAACCAGCTTAAGTCTGGGCTAGTACAAGCAGCCACACATACACATACACACGCATGCACGTCGTCATATGAGCGAAATATTCTCAAGCACGACGTTAAACCCAATTTCACCTCACCTCACCTCATCATTTGAGACACAGTCAGATACTGTTGTGTCGAAGTTTAAAGAACTTAAACATATACTTCGAGTTATCCGGGTTCGACACAAACGCCAAATGATAACCAGTGACAACTGCATCAGGTAATTCAGGAAGATTAAGGTGAACGTTTATTTGCAATTTCGAGTCTGCTACGTTTGGAAACTTAGGTTCATTACAAGGTGCCTCTCGGCTGTTGGCATGTAAATTAGTTTCACGGTGCATATCCATCTTCAGTCGCTGGATCAGGTCGCGGATATTCTGTTTTATCTGAGCCCTACGAAACCAATGGAGATCACAGACCATGCTGTTCTTCGGGCTCCGAGTGGGATGACGCCACGTGAGATACTGCGTTTGCCATTGCTTTGTCCAGTGTTAATGCCATAAGTTGCCAGGTATTCTTGGAATATCTGGCCATCCTGTTACTTTCCATGCTCAAGATGTGTGCACTTCAGGTGGCGCGTCCAAGATATTCTTGCCACGTTTCTGTTTGTCAATCAGACTTGTGTCTAAAGGAACAGAAATGTCAAGGATGTACACAATTCCATTCATATTTAAAAAATGACATGGTCGGGTTTTTGTACTTGGATATGATTTCGGCAGTATGTGGGCCTATTTAAAAGAATTGTGTGATTGTCATCTTCCACGACGACCTACATGTTCTGGTTGATTGGTCTCTACGGCAAAACCAGCAAAATGGCGAAGATGGTGATAATGGAATAGAACTACGCCATCACGTCGCCTATGATACTCTTCCCTCCGTCTGATATGCGTCCATTTCAATGGCGTGGGCACTAAATGGCAAAACTGACAAATGTATTAGATGTATAGCGTTCGCCCAACCCGAACCCACACATCCACCAACCCCACCCAGTAACGTACAACACACACACCCACTCCCCCACCACCACACCAACACCCACACACCCAGTCTACACCCCAAAACCCGGAGACCCTGTTAAAACAGACCCCAGACCCATCCCTAGTTTTGCTGTGTGCCCCCCTCCTCAAGGTTAAAGCTCGCCTTGCTCTAAGGCTGTACTGAATGCTAAGCCCGTGGATGTATAGTAATTCTGTCCTTTAAAGAGGCAGGGCCTAGATTTTCTAAGCTCTCTTAGAGCTAAGATAGTCGTAAGTTAATGTATGTCACGTACGTCTATCTTAGATCTAAGAGAGCTTAGAAAATCTAGGCCCAGGTCTAGATAAGCGGACAGTAGTGATGCCAGTAATTATTTATATATCCTTAGAAATTTTTATTTAAATTATTAATATTACCTTAGAGACTTGTCAAGTCTAGGTTAAAGCATATATGCATTTTTATCGGGCGTTGGGAATTGTTACTACAGCCCGTTATGTTCCGTTGAGCTATTTTTAGCGTGACGCGTTTCAACTGCACTTTAAACTGGAAGTTCATTCCCCTCGATAAATGGGTCATAAATATTAACGATATTCAGAGTCTCTCATTCAACAAACTACTGCATGTTTTATTGCTTGAATATTGTTTTCTCTCACTGTCAAACTCTCTCAGTTAAAATACGAACAGCTAAATAAACTCGTTCATAACATTAGGGAGTGTGAGAGTTGTAAAGGAGAATACGGTGCCATTAAAGATGGGGGATAAGGTGGATTAGGACTAAGTGCACCGACGTTGGTAACGTCTTCTCCTGCTGTTGTGTTGCAACTACATAATTTATGCAAATCGGTCAGGTCACTTTGCACAGGAGGAGGAGCATGTGCGTGTCCTCCCAAGCGTAGCCTGTTTGCATACCAGCACGCTCAACTGACCCTCAGAGCCGAGCCAAATCCTACGCTTATATTGTGAGAAGCAGCCAGGGAGTTGGTGTGTTCTCTGTGATCAAGGACCTACAACTCAGGGAAATATGAGTACCATTTTACATGTTTCGTTTGTGATCGTTGTGGTTGTATCCTCATGCAATGGAGAAAGTAAGTCATACTATCATTTCTTCTTCCTTATATTTGTTTGTTAACCTGAATGATCTGTTTAAGGGGAATTCCCTCCGCATGTGCCGTTACACCTAATTATCCGGGTGCAATAGAAAAGTTTGGCTGTGTGTAAGGCTGTGTATTTCGGTAGCCTACCTGCTTTAAATATTTTTGTATTATTCATCACAAAAGGTGTAACGGAGAATGTCTCAGTTTGTGTCGTGTGTCTATTGGTTGACATTCATTCAGACGCCAAGACGCCATGTCTCCAGGTTTTGTACAAACTGAGATCCATTGCCAAGACGCTATGTCTCCATGTTTTGTGCAAATTGAGATCCATTGCCAAGACGCCATGTCTCCAGGTTTTGTGCAAATTGAGATCCATTGCCAAGACGCCATGTCTCCAGGTTTTGTACAAACTGAGATGCATTGCCAAGACACCATGTCTCCAGGTTTTGTACAAATTGAGATGCATCGCCAAGGCGCCATGTCTCCATGTTTTGTACAAATTGAGATCCATTGCGAAGACACCATGTCTCCAGGTTTTGTACAAAGTTTTACGCATTGCCAAGACGCCATGTCTCCATGTTTTGTACAAATTGAGACGCATTGCGAAGACGCCATGTCTCCATGTTTTGTACAAATTGAGACGCATTGTGAAGACGCCATATTTCAATGTTTTGTGCAAACCGAGACGCATTGCGAAGACGCCATGCCTCCATGTTTTGTACACACCGAGACGCATTGCGAAGACGCCATGTCTCCATGTTTTGTACAAATTGAGACGCATTGTGAAGACGCCATATTTCAATGTTTTGTGCAAACCGAGACGCATTGCGAAGACGCCATGCCTCCATGTTTTGTACACACTGAGACGCATTGCGAAGACGCCATGTCTCCATGTTTTGTAGAAACTGAGACGCATTGCCAAGACGCCATGTCTCCAGGTTTTGTAGAAACTGAGATGTATTGCCAAGACGCCATATTTCAATGTTTTGTACAAACTGAGACGCATTGCCAAGACGCCATGTCTCCAGGTTTTGTAGAAACTGAGATGTATTGCCAAGACGCCATGTCTCCAGGTTTTGTAGAAACTGAGATGTATTGCAGTTTCTTGACTCTAGATACTAGTATTAATATCCCCACTCTGAGTGCTACGGCTACTAAATCAAGTTGCCTACCTAGAGTTTCACTGTAGTTGTTTTAGACATCGACATCTGCTGTACCTATATCTTCATTAGCCATGGTCCGGAGATAATGCACTGCTTATAACTAATATAACCCTTAATTATGTTAATTATATTAGGTTTATTTTGTATTAGAGGATTGGCTGTAAGCATGGTTGGTGAAACACAATGCTTTGACTGCACATGTAGAGTGCATGACACTTTTTCAACTATAAACACCCACACTGTTTGTGGATGTACGTAGGGTCAATCGGTCAAGGTCATCGAGGAGAGTTTTGAACATCTCGGTTGACGAGATTATTCATTTCGAAGTAGTACAAAAAAGGGCAGTTTTATGGAACTACATGTGCAAGTTTCGAAGATTAAATCAGCCAATGAGACGCCATGGTGGACACGGAAGCATTGAGAAAACCCAGTTAAGGGCAGACAGGCAAGATGGCCTCGTCACACTCACACACAAGTTATTTTACATCAGAGCGATAGAATAGAAGCTTGCATTATCGTTGTTATACATACGCTCGTTTTTTTCACTGAAGGCTTTTGTGGACGCAACAATCCAGCAACACGTTGGTGTTTTTATTCAGGAATGTACGTACGGCTGTAGTAACGAGGTCGTTGACTGTCTTCATGTCGTGTGAATAGTTACAGCTATCTGTGTCCGTGAACTATGTCCTTGTGTCCGTGAACTATGTCCTTGTGTCCGTGAACAATGTCCTTGTGTCCGTGAACTATGTTCTTGTGTCCGTGAACTATGTCCTGGTGTCCGTGAACTATGTCCTTGTGTCCGTGAACTATGTTCTTGTGTCCGTGAACTATGTCCTAGTGTCCGTGAACTATGTCCTTGTGTCCGTGAGCTATGTCCTTGTGTCCGTGAACTATGTTCTTGTGTTCGGACGATGTGGATCTGACGTCTGACCTCGTTAGTCATGGTCGTGTTCATAAATCTGAGGTTGACACCTCTGAAGAAATCAGAAACAAACATAAAAAGGACAGAGACAGAACTGCTCACGTCCTGCTCACGACCATTTAATCCAGCCATCCCGCTTCAAGCTGCACAAACCTATTCACTGCGCATGCGCTATAGGCGCACCGCAGCACAGCTGTTGAAACCACTTTTCACCCCAGCTGGGGTTATTTTAGTGAATCGTTTGAATTCCGATTTCGCGGGATTTTTTTCATCGCGTTATTTTTCAACTTTATAAGTTGCATGTGCATTTTTGATAATTTGTTACAGTAAGTCCATGCCGAAAGGTATCAGAATCTGCAAAGTTGTGTTTTGCTTTGCATGTAAGCTTTAACATTCGGACATACCGTTTGAACTTTTACCTCGAAAACGTTTGTACTCGAATGATTCCGAATGCTTTTTTTCCGCACGATCGGTTCTGAGTGATACACATGATACAGTAACTGCAGTCGCTGAAAATATCGTTTTTGTCAATATTCCAGGATGTCATCATGCGGAAATATAAGCTATTTGTAACCATGTCATCAGAGAACCCTAAGCGCATATACTGCAGGTCAGATATCTGTTTTATGCGGATTTTCGTTTGTTGAGAGATCAGTGTCGGCGACCGGGAAAAAGAAAATCCAAGAACACTTCACACAGAAACTCAAACTAACTAAATAGAAGCCGTTGTCTGATTGGCTAAATCCGTTCGGTCGTCTCGCGATTGATTGGACGGTCGTAAGTCAATCAAAGGTTAGCTGACTTGACCTTCTACTAGGGTTTGTTAGACTCAGTGTAGCAGTGTAACGAACAAAACTGGGCCTCAGTTTACATAGCCTGCACGAAAACGTACCCGACAGCTTGTAGCTGAATTTATACGTATGTATTCATGCACATTGTACCTTGTACACACACACAATTCTATACATGCATACATATGACTAGATTAAAGTCATAGATCTTTTAACCTCTGTATTGGCTTTATGGTAATGACGTATATATACATACTGGCTGTGATCACGGTCCAGTGAATATGAATGACAACACCAGTGGATGAATACTTGTGATTGTACCTGTTGACGAAACAAACATGAAAAAACATTGTAAAAAATATGAATCATGGGCATAATATTTTAACACCCCAACATCTGCAGTGTTACTGTTCACTTTCCGTGAAATATGAAATTGCTGTACAGATTTTGAGTTAAGTAACTTATCAAAACATGGCGGACATTTATTCATCCAGGCGTGTGTTTGATTACAAAAGGACTTGCATGTCATGTGACCCTTGGCCCAGACGCTGTTCAGGCGCCTGTTCCTTTTTGTCGTGAGTCTTTGTTCCTTGCATGACATTTAAAAGGTGGTTTACGACTTATCGCACTTCTCATGCGAATGTTTGGTTCCGAGTTTATTTACAATGAACTCTTGTGATATGTATAGTACATTTCTTACGCTTCCCGGAGCGGTGGGGTAGGCCTGTGGTTAAAGCGTTCGTTCGTCACGTCGAAGACCCGGGTTCGATTCCCAACGTGGTAAAATGTGTTAAGTCAATTTCTGGTATCCCCCGTCGTGATATTGCTGGAATATTGCCAAAATCGGCCTAAACCTATACTCGTTGTTCACTCACACGATGTACCTGGACTTACTCTAACAGCAATCAGAAAATAACCAGTCGCCGTGTAATGCGCCGAGAAAGATATCGGGCGTTGCGGGCGAACACTTTTACCACTACGCTACCCCAGAGTATGAATGGATCAACGAAAAGCACTGATGAAACTAGGTGTTCGAGAACTAGGTGTTTTCACGTTACCGGAAGTGTCTGCCGTTTAGTAAGGTTTTGTGCGTACGTGCGTGCGTACGTTGTTGCCCTGACGCCGCTAAGCCTAGCTAATTCGAATTTCTTCACCCCAGCGGGCCCTCGGACAACAAAATTACATTTAGCTCCCTACGGATCCAGTTTGCTTTAGCGTAGAATTTTTACAGATATGGATTGGGCTTCCTTTTCGCTTTTATTTGCGCCTCTTCTCTTAAAAATTACTTCCCAGGATATGAGAGTAGGTGAGTGCGTATGGTTTATTGCCGCTTTGAGCAATATTCCAGCAATATGATGGCGGGGGACGCCAGAAATGGGCTTCAAACTAATCGAACACTTTAACCACTAGGCTACCCTAACGAAAGAGCAAGCGTCCATTGCTCCGGATCCGGTTTTAAGCGTTGCAGCTGTATCGTTCTTGCCACTTAAATAAGTTTAATTTTACGCCGCTTTCAGCAATATTCCAGCAACATCACGATGGGGACACCAATTGGCTTCACACAATGTGCCCCTATGGGAAATCGAACCCGGGTCTTCGGCGTGACGAGCGAACGCCTTAACCTCTGGGCTACCTACCGCCCCTCTTGCCACTTGAAACAAAACACGATATATTGCGATTACTACCCAACGAAGGTAAAAGGAAATGCAACAATTATCGATAAACAACAATAGTGGAAACAACCATTCCGGTGGAAAGGAATATTAATTACTAACTGTTATGAAAACATTGCAAAGTGCGTTTTTCAAGAAGCAGCCTTTTCGTTTGCAATAACGTCATGGCTGAGTAGTACTGATCACGTGGTTGTCATCCGGGTTATGATCGGAAGTCAGGTGATCGCGAGTGGTTGTATGTAACGGTGCGTGCGCAAAGTGGGCTAATCGTCTTTTAAAGACGGCATCTGCACATTTGCCTTCCCTGTCAGTTCGTCCCTTGTACTGCACATTCAGCACTACTATAGTCTGTTTGTTTAACAAACGATCATAGATTCAAATCGCTGTTATTGGTTTGTATTACAAGGGGTAAGCGCAGTAGATGGAACAGTGAAACGAAAGC